AGCCTATGAGGAAGCCAACGAGAACCACCAGAATGGCCATCATTGGCGTCAGCGCGACAAGAAGCAACTGGCCCCCGCACCGACAACACACGAATCAACGAATCACACCAAGGACACGGAGATGTATGCGATGTGTGTACTCTCACCTGGAGCAGCGGACCTGGAGCAGCGGTGCCTTGTACAAACCCTGATGGTAGCCTTGGGACCAGATTTTTGTCGAAAAAGGGGATTTTGGGGTAAATGTCTCCTGGGTAAATCTGTCGGCCTCTCTTTCCCGTCAAACACTAGACGAGGGCAGCGGAGCCCTAGGACATAATGACACGCTGGCCCGAATGCGCTGGTCGCGTCTCCTTGGTCCCTCGTGTCCCCCCTCCCGGCGTATCGCTGGCTCTCTGTCTTCCTCTTCCTCAGGTTCCCCGTTTGGATGGGTTTGTGCCGATCGCCGTGGGTTTCAGATATAGTTGCCAGACGTTAACAGGATCCACTCTTATTAACTCATAACCTTGTTTTATTGGGCGTTCATTTAGATGTGCCGAATCATGAAATGCTCCCGCCACATGTCATGAGATTCACTTGCTGGTCACTACTGGTCACACTCTGTCTGTGTCAGCATCCGGCAATAGGCATATGGTAGCAGCTTTGCAACCAGACAAATTAAGGGCGCTTCGAGTGTCCGGCATCAACCCCGACCAGCAACACAGGTCAAAGATGCAATGGCGTTTTGTCCACAGCTTTTCGTGGATGGTCAAAGAGACATGCCTACATTCGAGTCCACGTTGAATTGCCATGGACAGACTGTTCAACTGGTGCGTAGACTAGAAAGGTCGAGACACAAGGCAAGCGTCTTGGTGGTCGAAAACTGGCTGCGAGCCACGAAAACCGACCTCTGAGCCCAAAACCAGCTTTGCACAGTGCAAAACCGGTTTTGCGACAGAGAAAACCCGTTTGCGATAGAGAAAACCGGTTTTGCTTTTTTTCAAAGCCCGGTTTTCCCTGTTTGAGTGCCGGTTTTATAGAGACACGACCACAAATAGATGTCTCCACAAAACTGTGGCTCGAAAACCGGCACTCAAACAGGGAAAACCGGGCTTTGAAAACAAGCAAAACCGGTTTTCTCTATCGCAAACGGGTTTTCTCTGTCGCAAAACAGGTTTTGCGCTGTGCAAAGCTGATTTTGGGCTCAGAGGTCGGTTTTCGTGGCTCGCAGCCAGTTTTCGACCACCAAGACGCTTGCCCTGCAGCCAGTTGCACTCCAACTGATGAACTTCGAGCTCTATTTATCCATGTGCATCTCTCTCCATCGAGCCACCCGCTCCCTCCTCAAGAGCGACTACATGTTTCTGTCAGATCCCGGCAGGACAGGAGGTAGGCCGGCGCGCGGTGGCAGGTCTCTGCACCGCAGCTCGCTCCGTCTGTGTGCATTCCTATCGTCCATCAGGCACTCCCACGCCCGGCCACACTATGTCCTAGCACAGCGTCTCACGAGACATTTGCTGCCATCCAATCGGCCTGTCTATCTCAGCGAAGGCCTCGCGTGGTGGAGGCTTTGGGAGCAGCTGATAAGTGCTCATATCGTATGCTACTCTCATCTGCAGGATGCTGCGTGATAAGAGACTCATTCTTCTCGTCTCACGTGTTTGTTTTTATGCATGCTCGTCACTATGTGTCTGCGCTCCGGCGCTTCAAGAATTCAGTATGAGCATGTACGGTTTTTTACATGTTAATTTGCCCTTCAACACGTCTATGTTATGTCTGACCGTATTCCGATACGGTCATTTGTACGAATGTGTACCCTCCATAAGGTATACGTACACCTCCCTCGTCGGTTTGCCCGCCGGGCAAGCCGACGAGGGAGGTGGTGGGTGTTTTTCTATAGGGTGGCCGGCTATGGCGACCACGTATGGGTGATGTGAGACACCCATGGCCGGCCACCTCGTGGCCAGTCAGGCCAGGATCACGGCCGTCTCCCAAGCGAAGCAACCGAGGAGGGTTGTCTGTAGTGATGCAGTGATTCACTGAATGAGTGAATGAATGAATGACAATGATCTTGGTCTCTTACCTTCCTCTTCGGCGCGCTTCAGCAGCGAAACAGATTCAGGGTCACGGAGGTATTCCCCGACGACAAACAAAGTACAAGAGATGTGGACACAGATCTGTGTCTATTTGTATGTGTGTGTGCCTATGACGTGCCTTGATGCGTGCGATAGGGTCGTTCATCTCGTCTCTGTCGAGGAGTATGGCCATTATGGGCACAGAATGGGGCACGTCGTCACCACTCACACCCGTGGTGTCTGCATCATCCCATCCATCACATGTCTCGTGTCTATATCATATGTGCGGGAAAGGGCACCTGCTGGGTGTCCGTGGACACTCTCTGCGTCTGCCTCAGAGCCGTCAATGAACGACGCACCCTATCGAACACCACACCACACACACACATACACAGAGAGAGAGAGGGAGACACCATATGTGCTGTGCTTGGTGTCTCGGCCGTTTTCTTACACGTTTGTCTCTCTCCCTGTCGCCTTCATCAAAAGCCCCTGAGATATGCATGCACGTAGGCATGTGTGTGTTTGTGCATACGTGAGGTGTGTGCTGACTGACTGCCTGGCCGACTGACTGACCGTAGTGGCGCCCCCCCAGCCGACGAGATGGGTCATGTTCCGGCTCTTCCAGAACTTACGGTCCAAATCCTGTGTGTGCACACACATATGCAAATGCACATACATTGAGGAAGGAGGGACAGGTATCTGCATGTACATATGTACATATCTTACCTACCTGAAGTTTGCGGTCGAGGATTCGGTATGCATTGCGCTCCACCGTCTCCGTCCGACCTGCACACACACAATCACACACACATCCATAGGATGTGTGTGTGTGTGTGTGTGTGTTAGGTGCACAGCGGCTATGATTTGCCGCTGTACGTCAACCCTTTTCACCTCATCCCATTCTACGGTACACTCACACACACCAATCTTGCGTGTTTGTGGAGCGGTGTACCTCCCTTAGCACCGGTCGATCCCGGTGTCTCCCTCTCCCCCCCGCTCCCGACTCCCCGTTCGCCGTACTTGACGCGCTGGTCCTCCAGCCAACCGGGGGTCAGATGGTCGATGTAACTACACACACACAATGCAATGCCATCCATCCATGTCATGACACACACAGACGCCCTTGGGTTGGGTGTCTGTCTGTGCGTTGCTTATGTACGTACGTCCAGAGGGATGGCAGCTGTATGGGCAGCTCCTCTGCACGGCCGTCGATCGCTGATATGTGCAAGGGCTGTGGGGGCGGGGGGGAGACACACACACACGGATACGCACACACACACACACACAGATACGCACACACACACACACACACACAGTGACGCGCGTGTGTATGTGTGTTCTTGGCGGCGTCCCTGAGCATGTCTCTCTGCCGTGTGGACTGCCGCGATGGCGGGGCGTGCAGGTACTTGGAGGCCATCGTAGGAAAGGGCGCCGGCAGGTCCTTGTACGCCAGAAGAGGCACACCCAATGGCTGCAGGGAACATCGATATATCAGCATGGATGCACACAAAGCGAGCGGGGTCCATCAATGATACAACAAACAAAAAACCTTGTAGGGGCTTCGTCCATGTGTCTCTGCTTAGTCGCCACCTCTTTCATCAGCTGATTGACGAAGTGTGAGCCATTGTCAGTGATTATCTCTTCTCCACTCGGGTCCCCCCGAAGTTGACGACTTCGGTATCCACTGCAGCGCACGTCAGGCAGCGCACGTCAGGCGAGTAGCGAGAATGTGCCCCTCGTGAACAACACTGTTACAATAGTCTGTCTCTCAATCATTCACTTTCCGAAGAGACTTGATATTGACGTGGGTGTCGTAGCTGCCACACAAGACACTTATATAGTGTACAGAAACAGAGACAGGTCTCAACCGAATGCGCCAATCAAGGCAAGAAACAGGACACAAGTGCAAGCCACAACTTACACGTTACGTCACGATCCCAGGTCACGATGCTTGAAACCAGTTTCTAGCGTGACGTGGTGAGGATATGGACATTCTGCCTTAACCCTTCATCCTCATCATCCTCGCCTGTGTCATCAGCATCCTCAAAGTCAATGTCGCCGCTGTCCATCCTAACAGCCGCAAACCACATGGGCGACGTTGGCGAACTGATACCAGACACACAGTATGTGCATGCGCACATTGATCACGTCGGCAGATTTTCTTCCCTCGTGGTCGTACCGTTCGCCTGCAGGAACCTCTTCCGGCTCTTCTGCGTTGTGGTTGTCTCCCTGCTCCCCCGCGGCCTCCGTAGGCGATCTGACTTCAATGCCCTCAAGAGCCAGCGCCATGGCAGCTGTGCCGCTCTGCTGCTCCTGTGGGCGTTTCGGCGACGCAGTGGGAGAGTTTTCGACACTCTTGAAATGCACCTCGGATGGCCGTGCGTCCCTGCCTTCCAGACCCGGCTCATACCTCCCGCTGGCCATGGGGCTCTTGCCTGTCTTGATGATGCTGCTCATGCGACTCAGAAGCCCCATCAACACCCCAGCCCCAGGCTTCTTGTCGGGACCCCTCATATGCGCACGAGTCAAGCGCCTGAAAGAGAAGACGGTAAGCAACCCCATGCAAAGCGGGATGTCATAGGACATCTATAGATGCAGTCGGAATGTGCACTCACCCTGACGTGGCCATGTTGACCTGGAAGACGTCGCCAGCGTACAGGTCGTCAGGGATCAAATCGGAACCTGCATATATGCGGGCAGCGTGTGTCAGCGTTGCCTGGCACTCTGGCTGTGTTTTCCTTCGTCATGTCTCACCTTCTCTGCCCTGCACGAAAGCCAACACAGAAAACGGTAATTACCTAGCCCTACAGACTGTAGATGCGCGCAGGCACATACCAGGACTTTGTGAAGGCCCTTGACGTAAAGGGGCTTGTCGATGGCCTCGAGCTGCAGGCGGCAAGCGAGGCACGGAGCATAGCGACACCATTAAGCACCAGTGGCCACGTTGCTGCGATATGATGTGTTGTGCGTGTGGATGTAGGCCGACCTTTAGCATTTCGACTGTTTGTCTGAGTTTCCTCTTGTCGGGCGCCGTGACAGTCTCCAGATCCATCTCCTGCACACACCAATGTAGTGACCAATACATACCACCTCCCGCCGCCCTGTAGAAACACATTCATAGAGGCATCCATGTGCCTGACCAAGAACTCAGAGGGGGTGTGATAAAGACAGTATCCAACCTGCAGACATCATACGACCAACAGCAAGTGGTGCTGTGCCATCGACCCACTCTTCCGCCTACGATTTTGGAATCGAGAGTGAGTCTTTTGAGTTGCATTTTCTGCATTTTCTTGAGTCGTTTGTTGGACGCCATGACGATTGGCAGGACGATGCTGACGATGACAAGTGCGAAGCTGATGAAGACGGTGCCGAGCAGGGTGCCGATGAAGACAGACTCGTTCCTGTCTGTGCGAGGAATGAAGTACTGGCCGCTCACGCACATGACACACAGCGCCAGCAGCAATGACACATCCAGAACTGACACATTGATCAGCCAGCCAAGCATTCAATCACATCACCACACAGCATAATACAGCCATGGCAAGGAAATTATCACTGTGCGCCTTCTCTGTGCTAGGCGTGTACAATTGTTTTCGTTGGAGAGCCAAGGCCAGTAGAAGATCTGCAGTGCGAGCGGCCATATTGGTGTCAGATTCTGTATGTGCCGTTTGTGGCTCCTCGTGTGCCCATGCGCGTGCCTGTAGCGAGAGGGACACGATGATGATAAAGATGGTGATGAGGGCCTGCAAGCTGCACACACAAGGGACGGCAAGTTCAAACAGAGACCATTCCCTCTTGTTGGCCGATCCGCATCGCTGAGCCTTACTGGCCGTCATTCGGCGACATGGCTATACATGCACACATACACACAGACACACACACACACACGAGACACAGAGAGGAAGATAGAGGTGCTGTAGTGGCATGCAGCGCGCGTGAATGTGCAACTGACCCGTGACGGTAGCCAGCAGCCCGTTGCGGGCCAGCAGGATGGCTCCCCACCTTTGCATGAATGAAGTACACATAAGCCATCAGTGACACCCCAGATTGGATAGTGATCTACCAGTAGACGTCAGGGCGGAACCTGCGAACAAACAATGCACGGCACGCGATATATTAGTGTCAAGAGCGGAGGCTCTATAATGGACTTACCGAAAGAAGAGGAATCGGAATCGTTCCTTGAAGGATTTGTTCTCGTAATACCAAGGCGCCACAATGCTCACGTACGCAAACAGGGCATAAACACCAAACTGGTAAGCGCAGAGATCAAGCATATGGACACCACTCGAAGCGGCCAGGGACAGGCAGCGACAGCTGTGGTGGTCATTTCACGCACCACATAGAAGAGCATGACGAGGATCCCGACGGGAAGGAATTGCGTCCGCCATTCGTTACTGTCGCAGAGGATCTCCGGGTAAGCGAACAAGGTCCTCTTCTTGCTGCCATGCTCGTAGCACTGACCGTACGGCGGACACACCAGACATACAACATATAGGGCAATATGCACAGCCCCGCACCTGGAATGCGGCGCAGGCATTATTGACGAAAGAAATGTACAGAATCTGCACCGCCATCCCAAGGCTGTGGGATAGGAGGCAGGCAGAGAGGCAGAGAAGGAAGAATGGGGAACAAAGAGAGCATCAGGCACCTGTTGCAGAATTTATCGAAGTCTGTGAGGTCTGAGGAAGTGATGCGCTCGATGCACCGCACGAGTGGATTCCTCTGCACCATGAAGAACCGGGGCTTGGCCTCCTCCTCCTTATCCTCCGCGTGGACGTCCCTGACCATCCCGCGCGTTCTCTCCTTCATTGTCGGCGAGGCGTTCTCGGGTGACGGCCGGAAAATCTCCACCATACGCGGGTCGGCCATTGCCTGACCCTCCCCCGCACCCTCGTCTGAGTCGTTGTCGCGGGGGACGATCTCGGGCAGGGCCTCGTCAGGCAGGTCCTCGATGGCCTCATCGTTGTCCGCAGCCAAAGAACTGTGCCGCCGCCGAGACACATCCTGCGAGCAGAAACAGAGAAACCCCGACGTAGTACAGGATCAAGGAACAGACAGGCACGTTTGGCGTCCTGTGGGCGAGGGCGGGCTCGTGTCGGGTAGGATGGTCTCTCTCCCTCTCTCTCCCTGTGTGACTGTGTGTGTGTGTGTGTGTGTGTGTGTCCGCGAACCTTTCCATGGGCCACTCGGTACATGACGCGAGTAAGGGATGAGCGGCGGCTTCGCTCCTGCGGGGCCGGGATGATGGGACCTGTGGGCATACACACATACTACTACCTCGATGGACGCACGTGGAATTATTGCTGCGACTGTACCAGGTATGATTCGCAATGATTTGAGCATTGCACAGATTCCCCAGAGGGAGAAGAAGATGAATATGATGACAATGGGCACCAGCTGACGAGTGATGTAGCTGGCCAGAGGAGTCCGGCCAATCACGCAAGCTGACAAACGTCAGCCACATGTTTACGTATGTCTCTTCCCATGGCCCTTTGTGGTGTCTGTGCCTGACCGAGGCGGATGAATTCGACGTCGAAAAGGAAGATGCCAGCGAAGGAGAAGATATCCCGCATAAATTGGGGATAGTCTATGTTGAAGGTCCCAACTATGCTGCACGCACAACACATGCAAGCCATGCTGAGGGCCGTGTTTGTCTCATGTGCCGAGTCTGTCTGTCTGTCTGTCTGTTTGTGCACGTCCCGACTCTAGCGAACTGCTTACGAAAGGTTCTGCATGAAGTTGATGAGCATGCCGAGTGTGAGTGAGATGTTGAGAGTGACGGCGATCTTTCTGCTCTGCGGAGTGTTGACGAATATGTGGAACACGATGGCCAGAATGTAGAGCAAAATGAGAGTGATGACGAACGGCCCCAAACTCGACGTGCCAGAGCCGCACTTGTTGCAGCTGCCCGCACGCTTGTAGTAACCTCGCTGGCATATGCTGCTTGCGCGAGACACACACAAGGAGACAGATGTTCATCGTATCGTTGTGCATGTCCTGTCCTGTCCTATCGTGCCGTGCGTGTATCTTACGAGCATGCTCTGCCTTCCCTGCCTTCGTCGCAGAGGGGCAATTCCTTCTGTAGAGCAGGGTCAGGGCTGCCACCTGAAGAGGGGACGCAACACAGATGCACAGCTGGTTTTGCTAGCTGCTCCCAAATTGACAGGAGGGCAAGTTGGCTGCTTGTGTATGTATGTATGTGTGTGCGTACCAAGACATGCGTATGGTTCGAGGCATCTGAATACATCGATGTCCTCAAAGCTAGCTTTATCCTTGACGAGGGCGGCCCAGTAGTTCTTCTCCAGTAGGGGCAAGTCGTACAGACGATCTGCCTCCTCATCGTATAGCACACCCACACAACGCAGACCGGTGTACTTGTTGCCGTCACAACCTGACACATGCACACATGCCCACACACACGCGACTTATTAATACAGGTGAGTACGCAATCATGTGTCTCACTTGCCCACTTACCTTTGCACATATCGTGTTTAATGTCGAGAAAAGTGCCCTCGACACAAGTGCAGTCCTCAATGGTGCGAGCACCGACATCGGGGGTCGATTTAGTGGAGGGACACTCCTGAATGAACAAAGGAACAAATGAATGCTGAATGAATGAATGAATGAACGAATGAAGCACATAGACGCGTACGATGCATTGTGTTTGGCCGGTATCATTCTGATAGGTTCCCTTGGGGCAATTGAGACACAGTTCCGTGCCGTTGTCCGGAGCATAATTCCCCTTGGCCTGCACAGCCAGCATGCAGTATACGCCAGACACGGACGCATAATCAGGGTTCCTCTGGAGGAAGAGGTGTGCGAATGAGTGTGGCAGCGTACACAGGGGTCGCAGATTTCGCTCCCCAGCTGATCCGTGGAGTTGCCTGCAATAAATACCCACTCGTGCGCAATCGCCCGTTTCCCTGACTTTGCCTGCGGGAGGTGAGAATGGCTGACCGGGTGGGCAGGGAGTGCATGACAGGGAGCCATTCGTGTCGGCATACATTCCCCTGGCGCACGGCGTGCAAGACGGCTGGCCCGTGTCACCATTGTACGTCCCCAGCAGACACGGAATGCACTCCTCCTGACCTGAATACCCACACAGAGACAGACATACATACAGATAGACGGACAGACAGACAGACAGACAGGCAAACAGACAAACAGACGTAGATGGTAGCAATACGGACATGTGGAAGGCACGTGACAGTGACTGACCTGCTTGCGGCTGGAAGTGGCCTGCTGGGCACTGTCGGCACATCCAATCGCTATCAGCGTACTGCCCCGCCGGACACTCCGGCGGGAGAGATAAAATCTCCATGGCGTTGTCGGCAAATCGCCACGGCCCATACCACGTCATTTTCTGCAGATACCACTCGTACGCAGCAGCTGTACCGCAGGGAACAGCAAAATACGACATAGCACATCGACAACCCGATATCTCGGCCCTCTCTCCTCTCTCTGTGTGTGTGAGTACCTTCCGGTTGGGTAGGTGCCCCGCTTTCGTCAATCCGAAAGTATGAGGTTTTGGGGATGGAGTCATTGCGGTTGCCCGTCGAAGGGTCAAAGCTGACGTTGCCGCCAATTCCTAAAGAGGAAGGAGGCAGACTCATGTGACGGTTACCCAAAGCATCTAGACATACCGACAACAGGGGCCTGACTTTCAAGCATCGCCTTCAACAGGTCGCCGCGCACGTCCTGCAATTGACCGCACAGACGAGCATGTCACCACCTTTCTGTAGTTGTGCCGCTGATCAGTACTGTTATATTAGTGCCATTGTTGAGGAGCGTGTTTGTGGCCACTAAGAGCGCCATCATGGCGTCGAAAGCACGACTTGACTGACATGGAAGACACGCACGGCGCTCGAGGAGGTCTCTGTCTTGTGTGTGTGTCTGTGGGTTGAGTTGTGTGCACCTCTCCGCCCGCCACGGGGTCTGGCTCGGGTATGCCCATCCCCCCCGGCCATGGGTAGGGGGGGGGTCTGCCTTGGAAGATGTCGATGTCCGTGTAGTTGGGGTAGGGCTCGATAAAACCGATTCCGGAATAAGTGGCCGCCAGACCTCCATCGTAAAAGATGCCTGACCAACACACACACGACCCAAACAAAGAGACAGCCATCACATGTGCACTTTGCTCCATCGACAGGGCTGACACCTACCGTCTAATGCCGTGCAGTCGGTTGCGTTCCTGATGGTGCGGTTGCAGGCTCCGTCCTTCTCGCACCCACCTGGAAGCAAATATGCGCGGCCCCACCGACCACACACCCACTAACCCACTCACTCACTCACTCACTCATTCACATGTGTGCGACCTGGCACTCACCATACAAGTAGCAGTGCATCTGGTCAGGGAAGTCACTCGGGGTCAGTTCTTCGTTCCAGAATTTTACGAACCTGAAGACCAACCAACACACGACAAGCATAGATGGCTCGATGAGTGTGCCTGTCGATTGTGATGCGTCACGGGCGAGAGTGGCTCACTTAGGGTAGTTGGTAGGGTCGCGGACGTCAGTTCTTTCCAGCATGCCGCCGGCGAACTGACCAATGACGTCTGGATGCCAAAAGGGAGGGTACCCCCCATTTGTCTCATAGTCGCACAGCGGGTCGTTCGGCAGTGTTGGGTCGCAGGTCCAGTCCGCTGGAGAATTGGGGAGTCCAAGGGTCCTGCAGCCACACACATACCAGGGAAGCGAGCCGACAATCAATCTATCTGATGAGCCGACCACATGCCCTCACCCCTCTCTGTGGACGAAGATGTCCGACGTCACGACCCGCCAGAAGTGCCCCGGACCTACGAGGCCCTTTTCGATGATCAAGGGAAAGAACACCGAATACCCCGTCGACAGGAAGAGGACAAAAATACGACTGTTGAGTGTCGCCATGGACAGGTCGATTCGGCTGCTCCTGTCGATACATTCATACATACACAAAACGCACACACACATACAACGCGATGGCCTGGTGGCGTGAGCAGTGCCATTCTGTGTCTCATACCAGAGCAGCTTGATTGCTTCCACCTGGTCAAGGAAGCTTTTTCTGTCGTTGAAATCTCTCTCGCTGGGCAGTCCTTGCAAGGGCTGACCACGAAACTGCATACATCAACGTAGGTCACACGCACAAGGCTTCCATGCAGCCGCCGGCCAGCAGGGTGATTTGATGGTTGGGCGGATTTGTCACCTCAAGCTCATCGCCATATGCTTCCTTGACACACCGTTCGTAACGCTCGAAATGGCTCTGACCTGCGTGTAGGCAGCGCAAATGAGGCAAGCCACAATCTCAGCTTCCTGCTACCCACTGCCCCTCTGTGGCGGGTGACCTTGACATACCAAGGACATTGTCGGAGTAGAAAAAGGTCATCCGCCTGATTGTGAAATTCTTGACAATTTCCAAATCCGCGTTGCACAGTTCGCCTCCGTGCAAAGTCCTGCACACAGGTGCAGCCATAGCGCATAGTGTTGTCTAGGCAAGAGATGCAATTTCTCTGTCTCTCTTTCTCTCTGTGTCTGTCTGTCTGTCTGTCTGTCTGGGTCTCCTCAACTGCCGTGAGGTGTGTGTGCGTACTGTACGTACGTACGTACCTGAACATGTACTGATAGAAGGCACGCCTCGACAGATCGGGGTCGCCCGAAAGGTCGGATATCTGGACCGTCTTGAATGTAGTGCCTGCCCGTTGATTGCCGTACAACACGAGAAGCCGAACATGACAATCACGGCTGTTCGGAGGCTCCTTCCTGTCTGTTGTCGTCCTAGTGTGTCAATGTGTGTGTGACGTATATGTGTCCGTACCAAGCGAAGCAATGGCTTTTGTGGAGGCGGAGATGTGACAACATATCAACGCATTCACTAACGCGTGTGCCACACAACATAGTGCATGAGACACACAGAGACACATCCAAAGATGCGTGGCCGTTGGTGCGTGGCTGGTGCCGGGGCTCCGTTTCTTGTCCCCTTTTTTGACCCCGTCTGTACCTGGTTCTCTCGTTCCTGCACATGGTCTCATCAGACCTGCAGCACGCAGCACTCTTGTGTGGCCCGCCTCATGTCTATGTCTCCATCGCCAAGCTGTGTCCGTTTTCAGCTTTCTCAGTGTTCCCGTGAAGGCACCTACCTTGTGCCCATTCAACAGTCCGCGCCTGAAGCCAACCAATTGACAAACCGATCAAGCAATCCATGTCGTCCGACGTACCGGACGGTGCTCCAGTGAGTGTGTGTGAGTCACTTACCTGGTTTTCGATGGTGTCGAGTATGTCTAATGAGATGTTAAAGTCCCTCTTGTCCGCCAGCGGCACCGGCAGCAGATCCGTATAGTTCTTCTCCCACACTAGTTTGGCTACCCAAGCCTGAATAGGAAAGATCCACGCGAACGACCCAAACCTGTAGACAACACGCGGCAACATCCAAGGAACCACTCATGCATGTAAGCGGCCCTCAGAAGGAGGCTTTTAGAACGTATTCTGACCTGAAGTCTCCAGCGTATCCAAGCTCAAGCGTGCCGTCCACCTGCGCCGCAGACGGCACGACTCCAACGAAGAGGACAAACAGGAACGATAAGCGGAAAACCATTCGTATTATGGAAGAGAAACGAAGGAAGAAACGGTGCGAGAGCGTGCGAGCTACGACCCCCTCCAGCCCCCACGTCTCTCTTTGCGATCGTTTGCCTGGGCAGCAGCCACCAGCTCACCGTCGACCACGCGCTCCTCAAGCAGAACATCACAGCGGGGCAGAAGACACCCGTCTGTGACACCCGTCACCATCGGAGTGACCAACGATGGCGCCACCGAGGCCACCCTCGATATCTCTCTCAAGGGTGGAATGCGCCCCTATTTCGGCCCAGAGATACCATCTGGACGGCGGAGGACTACGACAGCTATTGGAGCTGGTGGTATGCCTCGAACGAAAGCGACAAGCGCGTCTGGTCCGAGGACAAAGGTCGGGAGGGCTGGGCAAGAGATCTAGAGATCTGTGTCGACAATGCACACGGGACAGAGATCTGACACGTCACCCGTCCTGCTGTGCGTGCTGCAGAGGCGTGGCTGCCCAGTGGTGGACAGGTCCACAGCTTCGGGTTTCGCGAGAGTCCGGGCCTCTTCTCACCCGGACCCCGTGGTACTACGAAGGGTAAGCCGCGATCATGTATCAAATGCCTCACATCCAGCGAGCGGGTCGAATCTGTCGATTTCCTTACGCGCGCAGAGGCGCCATTTCAGGCCACGAGCGTCGGAATCCCCTACAGTACTGCGCACGCATACACGCGGAAGACAGGCCGTGGGTGGACTCGCTTTCTTGTATGTGATTGTGTTGGTTAGCGGCCATCCGGGTATCCAACGGTCATGGTACGCTGCATGACAGAGAGGGTTGCATCCAGGTGCAAGTTGCTTGCATCCCTTGCCTTGGTCTCCTTCAGGGGCTACGTTGGCATTGCCCGCTGGAATCCCGACTGCGGCTGGACCGGCATTGCTAGAGCAGAGGAAAACCGGACCATGGAAGGTGGGTGGGCCGATTGAAAGACGGCGAGCCCGGCCATGCAATCACAACACCTGCTCTCTGTGTCCGTGCTCTGCTCTCTTTCAGACATCTGCCGCTGGAACCCTGGCTGGTAACCTGTGACATGTTGCATCAAATAAGAACGAGGGTCGAGGGCGTCTCGATTGTCCTTCAGGGGATGGGTCGGCATTGCGCGAGGGTATGGCCCCCACGAATACACTGGATTCGGGTGACGGACGCGCACCGCACAGATACACACGTACATACATATGCAATGAATGGATTGGCCTCGTCTTGTGCACGGCCTGGTTCAGGTGGGTTGGCAACGGCCGCTGGTCATGGGTGAGTGCACTGAAGAACGAGAGGAGTGCGCCATTAGGGCAGGTTTCACGGATGCGCCATTATGGATGGGTGGGTTGCCAAGGGGCGCTGGTGAGTCCTGCCTACCATGGCTGGTGAGCCAATCCAGAAAAGAAAAGGAGAGAAGGCTTGTCGCTGCTTTGCCCATTTTCCGGCCGCCTGTCTGTCCGGCGGCATATGAATGGACCAGGGGGTGGTTCGGCATTGCGAGATGGCACCCTGCTGCCTGCGGTTGGGGATGGACGGGCATTGCCGGCTGGCTCGACAGCTACTTCGGGGTTCTGGGGCACGTGGGCCTAGGCCGCTGGAACCACTTTATTTCCATCGTAACCAACCTGCCTGCTATCACTTGATGCCCCGCCATCACATTTCTGTGTGTGTGTGTGTATGCAGGGCGTCGCCGGTGGGGCTGGATGTCGCCCGGTTATTCAGCGGTGGGGCTGGGCGCCCCCCGGCATTCAGCGGTGGGGCTGGATGTCCCCGGGCTTTCAGCGGTGGGGATGGGGGCCGCCCGGTATTCAGCGCATCTGAATGCCCGCTGGCATCCATCAGTGGGCATCCATCGCACCTGGGGATGGACGTCTCCTGGCATCCAGCGCAGCTTCTGGGGCTCTCCCGGCCTGCAGCGGTGGAGTGACTGGGGCCCCCAGCGCTGGATGCCTGGGAGCCCCAGCGCTGTATGCCACCGGACATCCATCGGGAGAAGCCGGGAGGCAGCAGCATGCCGTCCTCGCCAGCGTCGGTCCACCGCTGAATGCCGGGTGACATCCACCGCTGAATGCCACCGGACATCCAGCGGGATATGCCGGGGGCCCCCCAGTCACCCCAGGAGCGTTGGATGCCTCCAGAGTCCCCAGGCATTCAGCGCTGGGGCTCCCCAGGCATCCAGCGGTGCGTCTCGTGTGGCCTGTTTTACCAGGAAGAGGCCGCTGTATCGGCCCGGCGTCTGGAGGCTGCTCCAGCTCCCCAACCCACCGACGGTGGGTCCTACAGCCGACCCCCACAATGGAAATGTCCCCAACGGCCAGCACCTGGAAGGACGTCTCCTGGAAAATCGTGCCTATCGGATACTGCAGGTAAAGAAAAGGCCCAGCGACTAGCCAACCAAGGTATCAATCCAGATAGATCGACGATGGAAAAGTGCGTGTGTCTTGTGTGGCAGCTACACCTTCTGCTCATGGGGCGCCATGCGGCTTCGAGTTCGCATCCAACTATTGCGGCGCCCGCTTCTGAGCCGTCTACGAGGGGCACGCAGAAACTTTCGGATTCTTCAAGTAGGACACTCTGCAACCATCATGGATGATGGATTCTCACCTCGTCCTAACTGGCGCCCCAACTTCCACGACTGTGCCATCGGTGAGCTCCCTGCCTCAGCACACCTCTCCAACTTCGACCTCAGTCTTTTCGAAACATCCGCGTGGCGCAAGAGGTCAGTTAACCACCCGGACAGCCAGCGTGCTACAGGAGTGCAGCATGGTTGCGTGTTGTGTCTGTGTGTTAGTGAGGTGACTCCTCGTGACCTGGGTATGAAGGCAGGTACGACGTGGGAGTCGTTGGTGGGTACGGCCAAAGACCACGTGCTGCACAAGTGGAACATGGTCCTGCTCTGATCATTCGACACCACTGCTATCAACGCCGCCAGCCCCAACTTCTACTGGAAGAACATCACACCCCCACCGGTAGGTGTGCATGGAACATCAGTCAATCACCAGCCAGAGGTGTCTCACTCTCTGCCTCCCCTCTCGCTGGTTTTGGTTGTGCGGGCTCGTCAGCTCAAGGCCAAGCAGGGTGGTGGTGGCTCCCGTCGGCTGGCGTATGTAGACTTCCCCTCTAGCACCCTTTTCCGAGTGTTGGGCGACTGGAACTATACGGAGACAAAGGCCAATGAATACCTCATCCGTTCGGTCAAAGTTGACGACGACAACAAGATACTCGCCGTCACATTGGACACGGTCAGCAAGCCGGCAAGCCAAAGGGGAGCGGGCGGGACAAACACGTGAACACAGAACTCTTCAAGTAACAGACCCAACCACCATGGCCAGCCCCATGTGAATCTGTGTGTTTGTATATCTTTGTTATGCCTCGGTGTCATTGCTGTCCATCCACCGACCCATGGATCGATCAGTGCGGAGATATCGATGCTGTACAGCCTGGCACGGTACCCTGGCTGCCCATGCCGCTGCCACTCTTTCTCACTGCCGATGACTTTGCCAAGCTGTCGAGTGCACACGCTGCCATCGAGGCCGACATCCAGGAGTCACTCGACCTCAGCAACGTCACCAACGCCACACAAACCGCCAGACGAGCACTCCAGGCCAAAGAAGACACGTCAGCAAGACATTCGTGCCGTGCATCCCGACCTGTGTGCGTGTCGTTGGATTGCTTGCTTCAGCACGTCTGCGGATGAGGCCGACCTGCCCGGTGGCAAGGGCGGCAAGTCGGGGCGGGAGCTGAGTGGCACTCCCCCCAGCGGCAGCACCACCGTTGTGGGGCTGCCTCCCCGCATCCTGGTCGTCTACCACAACGCTACCCCTGCAGAGGCAGGACGCAGACGACTCAGCGGGCTCACAGACATCGCCGACAAACTCGGAGACGGTACCTATGCACCTATGTGGATGTGCACGAAAGGCAGACAGCCAGGCAGGGCCAGGCAGGCGTGGACAAGAGTCAACATCTGCATTGCTTTCTCGCTCCCCGAGTCATATGCCTCGCAGGATATCGATTGGAGAGCTCGTCGGCATTGTTTCTGTTCACAAGGTGGAGATGAAGCCTACACAACCGTGCGCTAGTATGGGCTGTCAAGATGCAGCTGCAGCAGGAGAAGGGCCTCCTCGCCACAAAACAAACAGTCATTCATTCATCAGTCGACCAATATGGAGGACAACCGCACACTGGCTCATTACAATGTCCAGGAGGACGCGACTCTGCACTTGGATTTTCCGTGAGGACACAAACAAGTCGTCCACTCATATTGTGCCCGAGTGCCCTTTCTGTCTTTACTGTATGGCTTGCAGTGTGCTCACCAGTGGCCGTTACGGTTTCGGGGCGAGCATCGGTGTGTCGGCCGAGGAGCTGTCAATGCTGACAGAAATGGATGGAAGTAATGCGGCGCTGGTCGAAGCCTGGCATGGCAAAGAGCACATGCTCCAGTGGTCGGCGAGGTGACAGAGGCCTTTAAGAGCATGGCCACCATACTCACAACATCCTGCTCACCAAGCTCCGCAAGATCTGACCACACGAGACACAATATAGAAAGACAATGAGACAAGGCTCTCAATGTTGTATCGATGCATGTATGCAGGCTGGTCACTGTAGTAGATCCTTACACATAGCAATAGAAAGAGCACGTAGACATAGTAAAAGGAACACGTAACGACAAAGACACGTAGCGTTCGAGACCACGACAAACACTTGTATATTAAGCATGTACGTTCGAGACCACGACAAACACTTGTATATTAAGCATGTACTCAAAACACTGCAAGTATGAAAGACTGACAAGGGGGGGGGAAGACACAGTGCTGACTTGTGTTTCATCCTGTGCACCTCAGCGAGCTCACCGAAGCTCGCCGTCTCTTCGTTATGCTTTAATAAGCGTTGCTCGTTTGTTTCCCTTTCCTTGCTTGCAGTGTCTTTGTTGAGGCTCGAACGAGCGCCGTTGTCCATTGAAATCTTTCTAGACGTCCATTGAAACACAATCGGCAACGTGCCATAAAATCAGACATGGTTACAGTGTTTATTCGACAGACACCCGGCCACTACAAATCATTTCGATGTATTGCAGACCGTCAGACTCTGCCTGCCGTTGCGCTATGCATTCAATGCTTTCCATCGTAGACTCGCTCGATTCATATCCCTTTTACGCTCGCGCAGGGCTGACTGTGTGTCTAAGGCCGTGCACAGGGGGCCGTTACCGGACAGACTGCCTTTCGTCCAGCTTTGACTTAATGGACGTGTGAGCGACTCTGAAGCACGTCAACAAATGGATCTCGATATGTCGTTTTGCAGTATCACAAGCTTGTAGCAAAATCGTGCGGATAAGGTCCATATCCGGCTGTTCTACGAAGTTCTCAGTAATGTCTCCATTCCTATTTATTTATTGCCTATTGCTTGCATACCCTTAGCTCCCACCCACGGCACGTGTCGAGGAAAGACGAAGGAAGTCAAAACACAAACTCACGCGAAAAAACCAAAAGCAGGGCAGCGGGCAACCACGCATATTCGTGCGCTTCTAGACTCGTTACCAGACCATGTCCTTACCATAGCACCTTCCTACAGGACACTCTGAAAATGGCAAAACAGGCAACTTTGTACAAACGGCTGGGTCCTGACAGACGAGATTGAGAGCACGGACGCCAGAGTAGCTCGTCGAATACCGCCAGGCGCGGAGACTGTTCCCAGTGTCGGGACAAACCTTGTTGGTTTCCCTGACAATCAGGATCCACGACACAGGCAGTAAGGGGTAAGGTAACGTGAGTGGAGTGCATGTGTGACAGTAGAGATGCATCGTTATGTTTGTGTAGGGAGTGTTTAATGCACTTGCTTTCTTTTATCTGACTGACTGATCACTCACCCCTTGGAGGCTGAGACGTCAATCGAACGTGGAGACGCATAGAAGATCAAATATTTGGATCCCGGAAGCCTCTGGCAGGATGAAACGATATCTGCCCGGTCGAAGTCGTACTGAAAGACCTGCTCAGTGTTTTCTACCCAACGACTCGGATCTCCGTAGCTGGTTCCGCATACTCTGGGTACTACGAATTCCTGAAAAAGGAGAGAAATACAAATACATCCGAATGCATCCGATATCCAGCACCCCTCCATGCCCTACCTGGCAACAGCTTCCCTCCGCCCAACATCCATTGTTGAAGACGATTATGTTGCGGGTTGGCGACACGTCATATCTCGCCTCCTTGATGGCACCCAGCAAAGTTGAACTGAAGCGAATGTCATTGAAGCTCCACTTGGCACTGTGGCTGCTGTAGAGGACGCGATTAGCGTCAAACGGGTCCGCGCGATAGTTGAAGGGACGGCCATAACGGAACAGAAAATCGCCTTTGGCCGTCGCTGCCTCGGCGGTGCTGATGGAGTGGTCGATTATGTAGATTTCGCTTGTGTGACTGATGAGACAGAACATAAGAGCAGTAAAAGGACAGCATAGAAGAGACAAAGCGTGACGCTCTCACCGGGACGATATCATGATCTGGTCCAGCTCCTCGTTGTAGTCGAGTGAGTTCCAGTGAAGCCAGTCCACTGAAACTGAAAAGCTTATGTCCCTCGCTGTCACGGGCGGGATGTTGACATCGAGTCTGTAGTAGTAGTCGTCTGGATGGTCGCAGTAAGGAACTGACATAACCAACAGCAGCAGGCACAGCATCCATTTCTCTATGTCCATGAATGTGTGTGGGGGGTGTTTTACGTGTGTGTGCGTGTGTGTGGTGTACCGTAATTGTCCTTTGTCCTATCGAAGTCCTGGACCACAAGAGCGATACAGAGACAAAGGGGGAAGCCACACACTTACCTGGATAAGGTGGTCCCACATTCTCCAACCTGCCAGTGCACGACAGAATTTAATGATGGCAGACAGCATGATTTACACATGTCGTGCATCATATACTTACGCCACACTTCCTTTGCGGAGTTCTTGCCGACCGGCGTGACCTCAACGATCTCCTCCGTCAGCAGATACCCCGACTTGTTTTGGTTGTCTGGTATGTCTCGTGCAGGATCGCGGCCGGCCTGAATGGCCTCAGCGTAGTCCTTGACGACCCACAGGAGGTACAAGATGTTGCCGTTCGGCAGCCCAATTGTCTCGTGGTGCTGAATGGCAATGCGTCCTCTCTCGAATTTCGTGGTGTTAAAGTCCCACACGACCTGAGCCATGTACACGCATCCCTCACTCACTCAAATCATCCATCGATACATCTTGCGTACGGTGCTGTCTTGATCGATGAGCTGGAGAATCCCAGCGCGTCCGCCGTACGGAAACCACGGATCAGCGCGGAGCCCGGGTCTAGTTGGATCACTCGCACTTCGGAGGGCCAAACCATTCCTCAAAATGGAGGTCGCACCTGCCGCGGTGCCTCCGCTTTTCGTATCAGTGATGTTGTACGTCTTGGCGATGCACAAATTCGAGTCATAGAGATATGCGACATTGACGCCATTGGGCGCCCACAGGGTCAGCTGGTCCATATGTCTCCCTCGCATCTTGTCTAGAGGTCTGGTGTTCTCGAGGACCGATAGTACTGAAACCCACACAGTCAGCCATTTCATGTGTGCCAGTCCCATGACATATGCGGTCATCTCTGTGCATGACTGACCACCTGATGATGTGTTGGAGGTGAGGTTGCCCTGATGCACGGAAGTATCCACGTCATCTGTGCCATCGGCACGCGACGAAGTCACGTGTCGGCGCCTCGGCGCGTGCCGGCGGACGGTGTTGCCTTGGGATACGGGCCCGGCCGAGGCGGAGCCTATGAGAAGGGCGACGAGAACCACCAGAATGGCAATCAGTGGCGTCACGACAAGAAGCTGGCCCCGCACCGACAACACACGAAACAGACCACGGAAGGGACACAGAGATGTGTGTGACGAAGGTGGTGCACCACTGAGTGCTTTCACCTGCAGCAGCGGTGCCGATGACTTGTACGGATCCTGGTGCTGCCTTGGGACGAGATCTTCTGTGAGGAGGGAGCCGATAGCCGATTTTTTTGGTAAATGTCTCTCTGGGAATCTGTCGGGGCGAGTCGTCCCGTCAAACCGAGACGAGGACAGCCGAGCCCGGACTGACACGCTGCCCCGAATGCACTTCGTCGTGTCTCCTTCATGCCACGTCCCCCTTTCCCCCCCTCCCGGCGTATCGCTACCGCTGGCTCTGTGTCTTCCTCTTCTGGCAGGTTCCCGCTTGGATGGGTTTGGTGAGGTGCCGATCGCCGTGGGTTTCAGATATAGTTGCCGACGTTGACAGGATCCACTCATAACTCATAACCTTATTTTATTGGGCCTTCATCTATATGTGCCGAATCATGAAATGCTCGCGCCACATGTCATGATCACTGTAATTAAAGAGTTGCATCTCCTGTACATGAAGATTCACTTGCTGGTCACACTCTGTCTGTGTTAGCATCCGGCAATAAGCATATGGTATCAGCTGTGCAACCAGACAAATTAGGGGCGCTTCGAGCTCGTGTCCGGCATAAACCCCGAAGCAACACAAGTCAAAGATGCAATGGCGTTTTGTCCATAGCTTTTCTTTTCGTGGTGGTCAAAGAGACATGCCTACATTCGAGTCCACGCTGAATTGCCATGGACAAACTGTTCAACTGGTGCGTAGACTAGAAAAGTTGACAGCCAGTTGCACTCCAACTGATGAAGTTGTGCGTAGAGCTGTCTTGTATGGAAGCTGTCCTGGGTTCGCCCTGCACGATGCCGCCGATACACAGAATATATATTATATATCGAGTAAGTGATGCGCGGAATCGGTTCTTGGCAAATGTACAGAAGCCAGAATGGGGAAGTAGAACAATGAGCGCCCTCTGAGCAACCAAAGCAACAAGCAGCCAACACATGAATACACCATGCACACGACAGCTCAGATCAGTTTCACGAAGTGTGCTCTAAGCTGAAAGCTGAGCTGACGGGGGGTGGTTATACAGCCCCAGTTTCCCGGCGACAACCCAACTTTTTTTCTAGAACGTTTTTTCAAGATCTGTCTTCTGATATCTGTGGAGGGTTTACTGCGAGGAACGACTTTGCTTCGAGCTTTAAATCCGTTAACGCGTTCGCGCGAAAAACGGCGGCAAAAACCCGGAAAATCGGTTTTTGGCTGTTTTCTCTCGGGTTTCTGGTGCGCCTGACGCGCAAGTCTGTGTGTGATTGCTCTTTGTGTGCTCTGTCCTCACGCAAGCTCTGCGTTCCGTGAAACACGAGAACAAGCCACGGAAGGTTGACGCTGCCGTCAACCCAAATCACCACAATTGTGTCAATGCATGATACATGAAGTGCGCATCGCTTTTCGTTTCGTCAGAAAGAAAAAGGGATCACTGAAAGTTTACACAGCCATGAACCATCAGTCACACAATGCATCGTTCACGGCACAACTGCTTTACGCTCTCTTCGTACGCAAGCGGTCGTCGCTCTTCGTCCGCGCAAACGGGACCATAGCCGCTGAAAACTTGCTCACCGCCAACTCAATCGCAATGTCCTTGCACACGCTTCAAGGTCGATCTGGTTGATGAAATATAGGCGCACGGACGCTGCGAGAGACGAGTCTGCTTCTAATCGCCATTGCGCCCTCTCGTTCGGGTAAAAGGTGGCGAACACTGGTGTCGGTTACACGGAATTCTGCTTTCTCTCGGGACCCTCATTCATTCGATGCAAAAGCATGTATGTCTGATACATCTCGTCATGCTGTGTCTGCACGCCAGGTGCCACGCCAGCGGCCATCGCCCTGCGCCGTCTTGAGAAAGAGAACCAGCCACCGAATGTTGGCACAGCTGTGGACCTAAATCGGCACGATTGTGGCAATGCGTGATACATTTCGCTATGCTGTGTTCACACTGCGAGCGGCCACTCCCTCCCCCAAAAAGGAGACTCCACCCGAAGTTTACACAGTTGTGTCGGACCCAAGCTGGCCATCGAAGATTAACGCAACCGCGAAGCCAGCCGCAGTCAGGATCCCTACTGACAGCGAGCTGAAGCAGATAACATGCTTTCACGAGAAACAGACTCCTTATCATTCAAACCGGCTGAGGCGGTTCGACGGACTGCACCTTTCTCGACTACATAGAGGCATTCGAGTGGCTGATCCATTGAGCAAGCCATGAGAGGGAGGATGCTGCCTCCGTGCTTCGTATACGCGCCGGCCCCGCTGGGAAGCTCTCCAGTGTTGAAACAATCCAGAGCCTTGAGCAAGCACACGTCCGCGCCGTGACTCTCGGCGCCGCACCTTGAGCATGGTGCCCCGCTCTGCCAAAGGTTGACGCCAGAGCCCCCCGTGCGAATCGTATTCTCGCTGCTCAGCACCCTAGCCAAAAAGGCCATGGCACTGACAGTGCAACCAATCAAACACAACCTGCCCAAGTCACGCAGACACACAAAGGAAGGAACACCGACGCCGACGGTGCTTTCAAGCCAAATCACATAACGGACTGCACCGCCGCAGACGTTGGCTCTGGCGGTTGCAGACATTTAAACTGCAACCCCCCTGTGCAAGCCTCCTCCCCTCATCGCACATTTTATCGCAATTTTTTGAAAACGAAAAATATTTTAAAAATAAATATTGAGGAATTTTAGGAGAATTCCGACAAACAAGGAACGCATTTTAAAAGCCGCCAAAGAAAAGGAAGAGAAAATTTAAAAGCTTTGGGTTGCAACCCGTTGAATCACACTTCCTTGCCATGTTCTTTCCTCGCATACCAATGCCTTTCACACATCGAACTGGATAACACTCGTTTGTATTGACCACACAGTCCATTTGCCTTCACACTTACGCACACACTCGCACGCACACATAAGACGGACATAAGATTACATACAACACATACATAATTCATACAGAAACAGCCAGACAGTGTCGGTAGAGGCACCACATTCATTCACAGAGACAGACAGTCGAGGACGGTACGTACGTGAACCAATGAATAATT